TAAAAGTTGCTAGGGCCTAAACCCAATTGCGGCGGTTTTTATCTGATCAAAAGCCCAATAATAGTCCAATTTTAAAAGATGTGAAAAGTTGAAAGGCCCACTGGAAATTGTTTGGGCCCGACATGAAAAGATTAAGCAGTGAGAGGCCCATCAACGGCCCAATTTATAAACTGTTGGCCCATACGAAATAAGCTAGGCCCATTAACGGCCCAAATTTAAATGTCAATGGGCCCATTTGAGCCCAATTGAGTGTACGTTCAGGACCCAAAATTAAGCTAAAGACTTTTTACGGCCCAATTTTAGTCAATAGGCCCGCAAGAAATCTTATGGGCCCAAAACAAAATTATAAGAGCCTAGGCCCAACAGTTAGCAATTACAACGTCAGCAGACCCACGTGAAATTACGTGAGGCCAGAATTAAAAGACCCAACTTAATTTGGTATTTCGGCCCAACATAATACCGATAAGCCCACTTGACTTTGGGCACAAACGAATAATTTAATAGGCCCTAGTACCTGGATGACCCAAGTTAAATAGGTAACCGGCCCGCGTGTAAAATATTCACGACATTATACTTCTTTACTAGACCGTGAAGGCCCAAATATCAACTACAATATGGGCCACAATCAGCCAGCCCATTTCGAAAACATTTCAGCCGATTAATGACATAACGAGACCAATAGCAACTTGTATTGGACGAAGGCCCAAACAGTAAAAGGCATAATGACTCAATCCAAACTTGATTTCTGGGCCACTTAGTGGCTCCAAGACACAAACAACAAAACAATAAAATGTAAAATGTAAATGGGCAAAATGTAAAATGTAAATGGGCAAAAAGAGTTAAAAACACAACAACAGAATAACTTTTAATTGGACTTAAGGCCTACATAACACAACATGAACTGGCGGTCCATTCTTTAACATATTTAATTAATGAGCGAAGACCAGGCCGCACAGGAAAATTTTCATAAGCCCACAAAGATGCAGGTCAAATATACCACAAGATTTCATAGTATAAAAGATTCATAAATATAAATGTTCTCTTGTAGTTTTACTAATCCGGTAAACAATTCATCTTTAGGCTATCAAGGTAACACAACTGAAAAAATGGGAATGAAAAAAATAACAAAATCCTTGTTTTCAAATCAGGCAGGCCTAAAACCTATAGCACCATGGCAGCATGAATACAAGACATAAAAATATGATAGATTATAGAAAAAAAGTTTCAGCTCCATGTATAGAAGGGGCCGTTCCAGAAACATCTAAACATGACTCAAATCCAAACAATTGCACTCACCCGCTTGTGGAAGATAGGCTTACTCGCTTCCCATTCACAGAAAACCTTCTACTGCCTTCAAGCTGTGGAAAAGCCTAAAATGTCAGAGCCAACTCTATAACCACTCACTGGTAACAACTATGTAATAGGTATCTAAGATTAGGTAAATGAAGGATACTTCCAGAAAGGAACAGAAATTTCATCCATTGTTTAGAAAAAATTAAATCCATTTGGACATTCAAGAATTGACAAAACTAGTAAATAATGTACAGAGAAAATAAACATCCACATACATACCTTTTGTCTCAAATAAGCAAGTGCATCTTTCTTTGAAGTGAAACTGGAGAAGATTACTGGTGAATGTTCATCAACAAGAACTTTTAGCTGTTTTAGTTTCAATGATACCTCAGGTGCCTGCAATAGAGAGTAAATTAGAGAAAAATAATAATAATAATAATAACATACTTCAATACATCCAGTGTGATTAGCATACCTGTAGAAGAAGCTGCTTACACAACTTTTTTAACTTAACTTTTGCTTTATCAGCATTTTCCATATTCACTGCAACAGCACGCATTGATTTTGCTGGGGGACCACATTCAGCAGAATCCTCATCCTCATCATCACTAGCATCAAAGGATGTCTTCTTTCCCTGGAAGTGGACACCAGCTATTTTCTTTGGCCGGTCCTTAATACCCAGACCTTGCTTCCCAGTAGTTGATTTATCCTGAAAATTAATGAATAATTAATAATCTAACCATCAATCCCAAAACTGTGCAACCTTGTGTACCTCTGCTCTTCTAGTTAAATCACCATATTCACACTATTCTGGTCAAGAAATCACCCTTCTCAACCAGATTGACAATTGAATGAAGCACACAGAAAATTAACAAATGAAATACTACAGTACTGTTTATCTGTCATTTTTTGAATGTTAATGAAATTTTAAAGCATCATTATTCTCAATGACATGCATATAATATATATTTCCCAAAGGATTGCTTTAAATGTATTTGAAAAGAAAAAAACGTACTTGAACAAGTTTGTACAAATTCTCTTGGTCATCTTCAAAAAACACAGTTTTCTCAGTGCATTTCTGAGCTTCGCCAGTTTTGAGCAATCGCTTTCTAGATTCTGCTCCAAGAAGACCTCCAGAGACAAAGCCAAACTTGTGACCCCACCATTCTGCAGAAACATCTTCAGCTTTATTTCCTATCACAAAATGCAAAAATAAATGGCCAACACGTAAATATCCAAAAGAGAAAATCAAATGTTAACACATTTTCTCATATCCTGAACAAGCCCATGGAATTCCAACAAAATTTCCAAACGGTATTGTGCAAATGAAAATATGAATTTCTACACCATTTGTTTTCATTATGAATCAGAAGTTAAATTTCTGCATATATACTCTAACTAATTACCTTCATCACAGAAATCTCTAACTTCAGACATTACCAGAGACTCCAATTCATTGTCCAGAAAAGAATTTGTCTGTGGTGACTCCTCAACCTTTTTGACCTATTGCATGGCATCGTAAGGTCCATAAGTAGTGATTTTAAAAAGAAGAGTAAATATTCATTAGTGAATCACACTTTCCTACGAGTCTAAAAAACAAATAGATGTCAAGGCACAATGAGTTTTACCATTTTCATGCAGAATAGAATATTCATTTAATTACAATAGAGAAGCAAACATAACAGTTAGCATTAATTATTGATGCAAGATTCAAATACAATAGATTTAGCTTAAGTGCAAACAACAAAAAGGTAGACCTAACCTTCAGAGAATACATGGGAAAACAATCTTATATTCTTCAACAGATCCAGTGGACAATCAAATCAAAATAACAAGTACAAAAATTAGTTATTACTTCTAATTGACCTAACATACACATCTCTTTCTCTGGATTCCAGTAGCAAGGAATATCATGGTTTGAAACCCCACCCAGGAAAGATATTTGAGATATCACAAATTCAAATTACAATTGATCTGTATAATAAATCACCAGCAAAAACTCCTAAAGCGCAAAAAAAATGCACAAGAAAACATAAATTGCAATTTCATAGCTAGACAGATAGATCACTAAATTGTTTAACTCTTAGAAAACTTACAAGAATTCCTTCAAGATCCTTAGAAGAATATGCATGAACAAGCTTCCCCCTCTCTCTCTTTTTATATCTAATATCCAGACAAATAACAAGATCACAATCATGAAAACAAAAATACACAGACGGGCATCACAAAGAATCACCAACCTTCCTTGTGGTCGAGTAGACTTGACAACTCCCTCATTCCCATCATTAGATGCATTTGTCTCAGTTTCTCCCTGATTTCTGTTCTTTACAACTGTTCAATAAAAATAAGCATTTCTCAAACAATAGCCTAGAATACAATGCAATACTGAACTATCTTTTACACGGAACCAATCATACCTTCATCATTGGTTTGTGCAGCTTGCTGGTGTCAAAAAAGAAAACAGGGAGCAAATAAGTCACTAATAAAACCTAGAAATTCACTAATAAAATCTAGAAATTTACAAGTTATTCATAATCAATAAAAAAACACACCACTTTTAATCTTTTGAGTATACTATCAAATTGCGCAGTATCAAACGCCCATGGATTTGGCTTCTCTAGACCAACACCTGTTCCACAATGAGAACGCGTCAATGTCCAATTAACGATTCATATATTTCTAAATTTCCTAACATTTCATCTTGTTCACATAAATTCAGTGATAAAATTCCAATATAAGAAAAAAAAAATGAAAACCCTAAATGATCGAATCAAACAATAAAAGATCGAAAGAACGAACCTATGGTGTCTTGCTTGTTTTTGACTCTAACGTATCCTTTAATCCCTTGCTTATCTTTCCCCAGCCCTTCTCCTTCTTCCCACCCCTGAGACACCATCCAAACACTCCGCTAAGCAACATGTAAACGCAAAGTAGAAGCAAATTAAAGTTCGTATACACATCTAGAGATGGTACCATTTGTTTCATGAGGCGGAAAGCGGCGGACTGACGAGCGACTCCGACGTAGCAGAGAGGAGCTTCTGGCGCCGCCATGGTTTTTTTCTTTGTTTCGGCGGGGAAACCAGAGAGCCGCCTTCTCGGAGTAAAGAGAGGTTTTGGCAGCGCTCCGAGAAAACCTAAAAGAGGCAATGAGGAGATATCCGGTGCTTCGAATCTCTATTCCATTTGATGGACTAGCGTTGATAAACGGTCGAGATGCATTTAGAAAGCGCAATTTTTATTTGATAAAGGTGGGTCCCATGGATAAGTGGTCTACCTTCCAGGCCCCTAGACCTTGTAAACGGGTCGGGTCCATCGGGCGGGTTGCTACCGTTCAACCTTTACCACTATCTTTATGTTTTTTTCTTCTGATATTTTTATTTCTTTTTTTTTTTCTGACATTGCACTATTTTTATTTATTATATTATATTTTTTTCTTAAGGTCAGATAAAAAAATATTTTAATTTTTTTTAAAAATTTTATTAAAATAATGTAATTTTAAAATAAA